ATCGCCTGGCCTGGCCAGTCTTTGGTCTTTAACCCCAAACAGCTGCTTTCCCGGGTCAGTCACCCCCGCCCCCTCTGGCCAGCAGTTTGCCCCTGGGGGTGGGGAGTGAGCTCCCGGCCGCTGCGAGGAAGCAGAGGCCAGAATCCCCACCCCAGCAATCGTGGGGACCCCTCATTCCCAGGCAGTCTCAGCCTCAGGCGTCCGACCCAGTGATCTGAACGCTCTGAAGTCGGAGGTGGAAAGTCTCCTTGTGCCAACCTAGGCCGGGGGACCGAGGGATCTGCCTCTGGGGGATGGGTCAGGACTCAGAGAGCAGGGGTTCTCGGATGCAGAAGTGAAGTCTTTCAAGTGGACGCTTGAGCAGGCTCTCTGACCCTCCTCCCCCGACTTCCCAGACGGGCAGCTGCAGCTCTACTCCCACTCCACACCCCACATCACGGAGCAGGCCCTTTGCCACCGAGGACCCCACTCCAAAGTCCCCTGTCCACACCCTTCGCACTCAGGACCCCAGAGGCTGAGCTCCTCTCTCACCATCCACCCGTCCAGTTCTACGCCAATGGGTTCCCCCGGGGCCGCAGCAGCCCCCCCCCCCCGAGTGAGAGGCTGACCTCTGCGGCTGCTCTTCCTAAGACTTCCTGTGTTGACTTTGGTCAAAGGTCCAGTCCTGCAACCCTTGCCCCACTCTGCCTTCCTCCCTTCACAGACTAATCGCTGGAACTCTTCACTCCTCCATAGTGGCCCGTTTTCCTCCCCTCCACCTCAGGGACTCACAGCTGTTAGGAAAAGGATGCTGAAGCCTGGGGCTGGGGTCCCAGAAGGTGGAGTGTGTGTTGCATATGTGAGGCCTCTTCCCCTAGAGGTGACAGGCCCTTTCTCTCCCCACCTTCAGTCACTCTGATGGACACTAGCAAGGCACAGGGAGAGCTGGGCTGGCTGCTGGATCCCCCAGAGGACGGGGTAAGTGTCAGGGGTGGAGAGGGCCGAGGGCAGCTCAAGCCTGAAGGCCAGTGGGAAATGGGGTGGTGAGGTGGGTGGAGAAACGGTGAAAAGAGCAGGAAAAACTGGAAGTGTCTCCTCCGGGAGGGGGGGAGGTGAGTCAGAGTCTTCTGAATGGGACCTGGGGTGGGGGGGTCAGGCTTCACCCCATGGGGAACGCTTCAATGCCTGGCTCCTCCCCTCCCTAACCCAGCAAGAGAGGCTGAATACTTGTGAGGACCTCCGGGAGGATGGGCCCCTTGGGAAGAGAATGGACCACCCTGGGGATGGTTGAGAGCTATAACCCAAACACAGAAAAGTGTCCTCAGCATGAGGTCCATCCATCCCAATGGAGTTGCTCGGAGAGGTTTCAGGGAGTCAGAGAACCCCATAAAAATGTATTCAAAGTTGTGTATATGTCTGTGGACTTTTTTTCTGAAGAGGAGACTCAGTTTTCATCTAATTCTTCAAAGGGTCTTTGACTCACTCAAAGTTAAAGTGGCCCCCATAGAGGTCCCTGAGCCCTGGGCCCCTCCTCTGCCCTCCGCAGCCAAGGCACACCGTGCATTCCTGGCCCCTTCCATCCTTGGATATTCCTAAGACCCAGTGAGCAGAGGTAGGAGCTTGTGAGTCCCAGAGACTGAGCGGAGCCACTCAGCAGCACTGTGTCTGGGCCCAAGGGAGGCTCCCAGGTGCCTCGGCCTCCTGAACTGTGGCCTCAGGCCCCTTCCTTCTGGTCCTAGACCCTGTTCTCTAGGTGTTCCCTTTCCCTTTCCCACCCCAGTAGGAATCCAGCCTCTATTTCTGGGGTTGGGGTTACTTGCTTTCTTTCCCTCTGGGTCCTAGGGTCCTGGCTCTACTCGGCTCTCCCGCAGAGTGGCCTGTAATTAGAATTAATAGACTAAACCATAATGTACCCTACAGGAGGGGCTGCTTGGAAAATCCTGGCTTAGGCCTGCCCTAATAGACGCCTCATCTCATAAACCAGCTAATCACTCCACAGTGAGGACTGCGGGTCCATCTGCTGGCTCCCACAGCCTTCACCCAAATGACTCTTCCCTGACTGGGCTGGAGTGGAAGCAGGGCCCTGTCTGCAGCTCAGGCTAACCAGCTCTGCACTGGGAAGACAAGAAGCAGCAATAATCACACACTCCCGCTGTCTGCCCTGTCCCTTCTCTTCCCCTCTGCATCTTCTCAGAACACACACACACACACATATTCAGATTCAGGGCCCCCGGAATGTACCTGTGTAGCAGCCAGCAGCCAGAGTGATAAGTGAAAGGATCCTGGTTGCTGGTTCTCCCCCATCTGTCACTGCTGGAACTGGGGGAAGCGACTTACGGCTGGGAACAGCTGCTGCCCCTGGCTCCAGCTGCGGCCATGGCAGTCTGGCTAATGAGCTGCGCATTAACCACCTACCACCGTTGCACCTGACCTCCACCCCAAGCCTTCCACTCGGACTTCCCCGTCACAGTTTCCTCTTAAGAACAGGCTCCTGGGGCTTTCCAACACTGCAGCCTGGACCCCCTTGCCTGATCTTTGAACTCACTAACGTAATACAGAAATATGTGTGTCACGGCAGCATATACTTCTGCCCCTGCCCGATGCCACCCCAACTTCTAGTTCATGATGCTTTTTCTTGCCTTTTCCCAGAGCTGAGAGTAGCAATGAAAGCCCTTGGGAAAGTGGACTTTCGATGGGCCTCAGTCTCTTCTTTATAAAATAAGGGAATTGTAACCCAAATATCACTGGAGTATTTTCTAGAATTTGAGAGCTTCTTAAATTCATCTGGCAGAGAAAATACGTAAGATCGGAAGAGATTTTTTTTTTTGAGAAAGAATAATAATGAAATAGCAGACTTGTCCTACCAGAAATCAGAAAATACTAAATACATCAATTATAATTAAAACATTTGGCATTGCACAAGAATGCTCAGGTCAGTGGAACAGAATAGAAAGTCCCCAAACATACCCACGTAACCAAGATTTTAATATGTGGTAACATTGAAATTGCAGATCCATGTGGAAAGTATAGACTTGTCAATAAAGTGGCAATTTGGCATCCATAATTTTTTTAAAAAGGGAGAAGGTAAAGTTAGATCTTCACTTCACACCATACACACACACACAAATTCTAGTAAGATTGAAATAAAAACCTGAAACCAAACCTACAAAAATGTTAGGAGGAATATAGACAATATTTATACGTTCAGAATGGGAGCACTTCCCAAGCGAAATACACAACACAAAAAAGAAAGATGGATGTCATCATGTAAAAAATGTTAAGGTATGACAACATCAAAGACATCACTAGCAAAATTATGTGGCATGACAGAGAAAATATGTAACATACATCTCAAGCAAATGATTAATGTCTATGATGTAAAAACAAAAACAAAACTCATCCAAAAGAACAGAATATCAATCAAAGATTACTGGTAACTGCACAAATAGCCAGCAAGCAAAAAAGGAATGCACAACCTCCCCTTCAAAGAAATTAAATTAAAATGGCAAGAAGCCGTGTTGTCTATAAGACTGGCCAAAGTAAAAAGATCATGGACATCCAGTGTTGAGGAGGTTTTGAGAAAATGAGCCCTTGTGCGTTATGGAAGTGTAAATTGATAAAGGCTTTCTGGGGGACAATTTGGCAATGTCTTCTTATAAAGTTTATAATATGTTTACCCTTTGATACAGCAGTTCTAAAGAAATCTTATAGAAAGCTCTACATGTTTACTTAAAAAAGAAAAAAAGCTAGAAGTTACCTAAATGTCCAACAATAGGTGAACGATTAAGTGAATTATGGTACATCCGTACAGTAGGAAAACATTTTATTTATGGATTGCTAAAAAAATTAGGTAGGAGGAGAGTATAGCTTAGTGGTAGAGTGCATGCTTAGCACGCCCAAGGTCCTGGGTTCAATCCCCTGTACCTCCATTAAAAATATAAGTAAATAAATAGGTAAACCTAATTACCTTCCCCCTTCAAAAAATAAACAAAATAAAAATAAATCTATTTTAAAAAAAGAATTAGGTAGATCTATGTACTTTGGGGACATCTTTCAAACACTTTATTTGTTAAAAACAAACAGTAGGTTACAGAATAACACTTGTACGTTAAACAGTTATGTTAAACACACATGCACATGAAAAACAATTCAAATATTTCTCTAGAGGCACTGAACATTTTCGGTCTGGGAAGTTTTATTCTGAGTTGTTAAGGATGGGTTGACAGATGGGAGGATTTTCACTTTTTATTATATGGAAGTTTTTATTCTTTGAGTTTTTATGATAAGCACATAGAGGCACAATGATTAAGAGAGTGAACTCTGGAGCCCAGGGTGTCTGGGTGCAGCTCCCAGCTCCTCCTTTTAATAGCCGATGCCTTGGGCAAGTAGGTCCTTTAACTTTGCTGTGACTCTGTTTCTTCATCAAAAGTGCTTTCAACAGTGACTGGCCCGTGGTAAGTGCTACATAGTGCTGGCCATTACTATTACTAGGTTTAAAAAAATCTTTCAACGTAAAAGAAGTTAAGGAGGGTGGATGGGATGGATGACGTCTAGGAGTCCAACCAGCTCTCCCCGTTGTTGACTCTGATGGTGGCCATAAGTGGGGAGGGTAAAGTTGTCTTATACGGAGCGTTCTATGCTTGTTCTAGCCCTCCAAAAGTTAGGGGCCTCAGTATGAAACGTAGTCTCCTCTTCTCTGAACAAATAGGCAGAAAGCTTTTGTGAATGAGCTTTTGCTACAAAAATCTGCCTTTGGGGCTCTATTGCTGATGAAATAGGTAAAAATGTGGCTCATATTCTTGTGATTAGAATGGGCTAACTGAAGGGTCCAGGGCTGACCAGGGTTGTTAGAGTGTTGTCTTGCCCATCTTGTATCCAAATAAATCCCTGACCCTGAACATATAACCAACTATCCTGGGGCTGAGGGGTGGGGAGGGGACAAGTGGCTTGAACCCAGCCATGGAGCTCTAACACCAGCTTCCTCACCATCCAATCTGGAAGGTGCGTGTCTAGGGAGCAGGTGATGACCACTCGGAGCCTGACTCTGATTTTCCTCTCACAGTGGAGTGAGGTGCAGCAAATCCTGAATGGAACCCCCCTGTACATGTACCAGGACTGCCCAGTGCAGGACAGCAGAGACACTGACCACTGGCTTCGCTCCAATTGGATCTACCGGGGCGAGGAGGCATCCCGCGTCCACGTGGAGCTGCAGTTCACCGTGCGGGACTGCAAGAGCTTCCCTGGGGAAGCCGGGCCTCTGGGCTGCAAGGAGACCTTCAACCTCCTGTACATGGAGAGTGACCAGGACGTGGGCATTCAGCTCCGGCGGCCCTTGTTCCAGAAGGTGCTTCTACCCCTCAGGGCCATTTCGGCCCTGACACTGATCCTTGCCCCACTCCTTTCCATGACCCGACTCCACTGAGAAAAAGAGAAGGTGGCAGAAGCAGGAAGAGAGTGTAGGAGTGGAAAAGTGAAAAGAATGTGGCACTAGAAATCTGAGGGGCTGGATTTGGGCACCTTCTTCTGCTTTGACTTGGGTCATGTCACTAAACCTCTCTGAGCTTTGGATTCCTTGTCTTAAAATGGTGATGACATTTTATTATTAACCATATGAGTGCCCGCCTCATCTATTTTAGAGGCCTTTAAAGGCACCTGTTGAGATAAGAGCCTGGCCTGGTGGAGGCCGGGAAGAGGTATTTGGACCTTTTCAGTGCTCCCTACATTCGTGTGTGACACACGCCCGTCTGTATACCCGGAGTTGTAGGGGAAGACAGTTCTCTGCAAGCTACTCTCTGATCCCACCTCTCTCTTCCCTATGCAGGAAAACGGACTGGAATGCAAAAAGGAAGGAGCACATTATTATAGGATGTGCTTTCATCTTTTTCCAAAGAGACTATGTTGTAAAGTGTGTTATTAGTAATAAATTAACGATGACACACTTTATAACTGATCACCTCGTTGGCACCGAGGTTGAGAACACCTTCAAATAGCGGAAATTATCTGGCTGCAGCCTCCCACAGCCTGGGTTCCAGCCCCAGCCCCATCATGTAGTCACTGTGAGATCTTGTACGAGGTCTTCAGTCTCTCTTAGCCTTAGCTTCTTCATTAGTCAAATGGGGAAGATGATTTATCCTACCTTGTAGGATTACTGAATGGACACAGCAGTGTAAGTGCACATGAAAGTGCTTAGCTCAGCAGCTCCCATGTAATCAGCCCTCAGTTTATGGCTGTGTAAACTGTAAAGTATTAAGCAAGCGGCCAATTCCATTATGTGGCACAGAGCACAGCTTTGCCGTGACTCCCCCTTCCCCACATCTTCCCAGGTAACCACGGTGGCTGCAGACCAGAGCTTCACCATTCGAGACCTTGCATCTGGAGCAGTGAAACTGAATGTGGAGCGTTGCTCCTTGGGCCGCCTCACCCGCCGAGGCCTCTATCTTGCTTTCCACAACCCGGGTGCCTGTGTGGCCCTGGTGTCCGTCCGGGTGTTCTACCAGCGCTGCCCCGAGGCTGTGCATGGCTTGGCCCAGTTCCCCGACACTCTCCCAGCGCCTGGTGGGTTGGCTGAAGTGGCCGGGACCTGCTTGCCCCATGCCCAGGTCATCCCCAGCTCCTCGGGTGCGCCCCGCATGCACTGCAGCCCCGACGGCGAGTGGTTGGTGCTGGTGGGGCGGTGCCACTGTGAGCCTGGCTACGAGGAAGGCAGCGGCGGTGTCAAGGCATGCGTTGGTAAGGAGACTCGAGGAGGTGGTGAGAACTCAGGGGTGGGCCTCCTGGGGTCCAAAGGGAGGGAAGAAAGCCAATGCTCCATCTCAGCAATTTTTTAACTGTGTGTCCAAGGGCCTGAGAGACGGATGCAGGGGTGTTTCCATACAGATTTGGGTACTGGGTGGGAGAGTTGTGATTCTGTCTGTGAAATACTGGAAGGCCATGGGTCTGCGGCGTCTCTCTCCAGCCTGCCTGAGCGGTTCCTACCGGGCTGATGTGGACACACCGCATTGTCTCAAGTGCCCCCAGCATAGCACAGCCGACTCTGAAGGGGCCACCGTCTGTACCTGTGAGAGCGGGCACTATCGAGCTCTTGGGGAGGGCCCCCAGGAGGCTTGCACACGTGAGTCCCAGGGAAGGGCCTGGCTGGGAGGAAGTGCAGGACCTGGGCTGAGCCTGTGTTAGGGTCACAATTTGCCAGAGCTTATCTGATACTGGGGACAATACAGGGTGCTGGCCACTTAAAATCCCCTCCCACACCCTCACTCTCCCTGGAAGGATGCAGAGTTGTGGTTAAGCTACTTTTTCCCCACTAGGAATCAAATCTGGCGAGGGCTTTGGAGGACTTCGAGAACTGGGGTGTTGGGAGGAAGCGATGGGCAGGTAGCTCAGGTGAGAGCAACGCTGGCCCCTACTGATGGCCTGTCTTCTCCCACAGGTCCTCCCTCAGTCCCCCGAAACCTGAGCTTCTCTGTTTTGGGGACTCAGCTCTCCCTGCACTGGGAACCCCCAGAAGACATGGGGGGGCGGCAGGATGTCAGATACGATGTGGGGTGTTCTCAGTGTCGGGGAGCAGCGCTGGAGGAGGGGCCCTGCCAGCCCTGTGGGGGAAGTGTGCGCTTCTACCCCGGGCCCAGAGGGCTCACCTCGCCCACTGTGCGTGTGGACGGCCTTGAACCCTACGCCAACTACACCTTCAACATTGAAGCTCAGAATGGAGTGTCGGGGCTGGGGGCCTCCAAGCATGCCAGTGCCTCACTTAGCATCAGCATGGGGCATGCAGGTGAGGTCCTGGGCGGGGAGGAGGGTGGACTCCAGCACCTGGAGGAGACCACAGGGCGTACATAGGACCACAGGGACAAACTGATGGGCAGGAAGCAATGAGAAGCTACTCATGATTTCTTCTCTCCGGACACCCAGAGCCCCTGTCTGGCTTGTCCCTGAGGTTGGTGAAAAAGGCCCCGAGGCAGCTGGAGCTGACCTGGGCGGGGTCCCGGCCTCGCAGCCCTGGGGGTAACCTGAGCTATGAGCTGCACATCCTGAACCAGGTGAGGACGCAGCTGATCATCTCTGGTGTCCGTACCTGGGCACACCCCAACATTCTTAGCCTGGGATGTAGGACAGGGGAGAGCTGCCCGCAGTGATCTGCGTGGTTTTCTCCCCAACACCCTACAAAGAGCCCTGCCCTGACCATTCCCCAACCCACCCCTCCCCACCTGCTCCCAGGACTGCCCATCTCCTCCGCCAAATCTGGTTCGGCACGGCCCATGTAACACGAGTCCTCCCACCGCAGGATGAAGAACGGCACCAGATGGTTCTGGAACCCAGGGTCTTGCTGACGGAACTGCAGCCAGACACCACGTACATTGTCAGAGTCCGGATGTTGACCCCGCTGGGCCCTGGCCCCTTCTCCCCAGACCATGAGTTTCGGACCAGCCCACCAGGTCAGTGGGTTGTCCTGTGTTCTGTCTCAAACATGCACGCATTCTTCATCCCCCTGAGGCTTCTCAGGTCCTAGTCGGTGACCTTTCTTCTTCCTCTACACACACACACCCATAGAAGCCGCATGGGCAGACAGCCCCACACGGACTCACACCTCACGCCCTTCTCAGACACACATTCTAATACTGGATACTGGCAGCCAGTATCCTATCAAATCTCCTAACCCTTCAGTTTAGTGTCCACTGGCAGGTGGCCCAAGCTGGTGGTCCCTGGGTGGGGCCCTATCTGTGTGCTCTCTCGCCTACACACGCACCCATCTCTCTACTTAGGCCACTGAGGGACCTCCCCCACGCTGTGCGCCCTTGTGGCCTCCATCATCCTTGTGGGCCCTGAGCACCCCCAGACTTCTTCACCCCATGTGTCTGCAGTTCCCAGGGTCCTGACTGGAGGAGAGATCGTGGCCATCACCTTTGCGCTGCTGCTGGGTGCAGCTCTGCTGCTCGGGATGCTCATCTTCCGCTCCAGGTGCTGCTCCTGCCCCTCCCCATCAGCCACCCTGGGGCCCTTTGCCCAGGCAGAAGCTCCTGGAGGCAGCCCAGCAGCCCTCCCAACCCCCAGTACCACAGCTCCAGTGTCCCCACACCCACCTGCTACCCCAGCCCCTGCTGTTTCTGAAGAAAACTCAACTGAAGCCCTTTGGGCACCTGAGGTGGTCCTGGGACTCTGAAGAAGCTGATCCCCACCCCCACAGGAAAGCTCGGCGGCGACGGCACCAGAGGCAGCAGAGGCAGCGTGACCGCATCACCGATGGGGACAGAGGTGAGCCGCAAGAACCTGGGTGCTCACAGGTGTGCGCGTGTGTGGGGAGGTGCCGCTGGGATGGGAACAAGGGACCCACGTTTACTAGGACAACTCTGGGGGCACACGTGGGCTCTCCGGTCCCGAGGGCTCTTGTGTTTTGCTACTTAATTAACTTTGGTTAATTAACTTTGTACTGATGGCCCCCCAGAGGCTCTGTGCAATTACCTGTTAGCTGTTGGTGCCAGTGCGGCGATGCCCGGCTTCTGGGCAGCCTTCCTTATCCTGCCTGGCCAGGTCTGTGGGCTGGGGCTGGGCGGGAGGCGGGGATTGCCCACAGGCTCCCTGAGTTCCTCCCAGGCATGTGGCCTTCCTGCTGGTCACCTCATTAGATGCTCCACGGAAGGGGGAGTCTGGGGTCCATCCAAGTCACAGGGCGGCAGTGAGGCTTGTCTGGAAATGTGAATGAGGTGTGAGTGAGTGGAGGAGTATGGTGAGCAGGGGTGAGGAGGACGGGCAAGGACGTGGCGTCAGTGAGCCACGGGAAGATTGGGTCACTTGAGGCCGTGAACATGCTTTAGGGTCTGGGATCTGGCCCTCTGCTCTGGACCTTGGGAGCTGAGGACACGTGAGTTTTTCACATGGTCAGGAGGCAGTCCCTCTGGGCCGTGGAGGATAGAGCCAGAACAGGACTCCTCGGGGAAGAGAAGGATGAGAAGTCTGGGGTCTGCAGGCGGGGCCCCTCCCTCCCTCCCCCTACCCCCTAGGGCTCCCCAGGGGCTGAGCCCTCCCTGGTCTCCTTACAGAGGACAAGCTGTGGCTGAAGCCTTACGTGGATCTCCAGGCATATGAGGACCCTGCCCAGGGAGCCCTAGACTTCACCCAGGAGCTCGATCCAGCCTGGCTGGTTGTGGACAACGTCATAGGGGAGGGTGAGCCCTGCAGTCCCGTCTGTATGGCAGCACAGAGCTGCTAGCAGGCCCCTTCCTTCCGGCCCTCCCCTGTGGAGCCCAGCTGGCCTCTCCCCTGGCCCCAGAGCTCCCAGATGAGTTCCCTCCCTGCTCTACCCTGTGTCCTGGAACCACTGTGTTCATATTATAACCTTCTTATCAGGTGTCCTGGAACAGCCCGCGCCTCTTGCTCCATCCGCCTCTGTAGTTACGGAATTTCTGATAAAGAGCAGTAAACACCATCTTTGTCAGTAGAGGGCTCGCCGTGCCCAGGCTCAGGCTGTTCTCAGACGGTTCCTGAACGTGGGAGAGATTCAAAGCCTCCCTAGGCCTGCATTCCCCTCCACCAGGGGCCCAGTGTCCTTGGGCTGCCCTGGTCCCTTGGGTCACCAGAGAAAATGGATCTGAGCAGAGAACAAAGCTTGTCAGTGTCTTTGCTGATTGTGTGGCCAAGCTGGCCAAGCTGTGGCCGGAGGAGCTTACGGAAGAGAGGCGGCAGTGGTCAGCCTCTCCGGTCACTTGTGCACTGTCCCTGGCCAGCCTGCCCTCTGTGAACGCAGCCCAGTCCCACTGCACCACCCCCACTCACCCAGTGCCTCCTGAGCACCTCCTGTTGGCCATGATGCTGCTACCTGGGGAGACAGTGCTGACCAGTTTGCAGGGCTGCACTCCTACTCCTGACCCCCGTCCCCTTTCTCGGGAAGAACAGCCAAGCCCTTGTCCCAGGAAGGAGGGCACACCATGTCTCTGATCCTCTGGTCCAGAGAAGAAAAGGGAACTGGAGGACTGGAGATACCGCTGCCCATCCCGCTCGGGGAGCCTGACAGCGCATCTGACCATGACCCTGTTTTCCTTCCACCCAGGAGAGTTTGGGGAAGTATATCGAGGGTCCCTGAGAACCCCCAGCCAGGACGCCAAGACTGTGGCCATTAAGACCTTGAAAGACACATCTCCAGATGGCCAGTGGTGGAACTTCCTTCGAGAGGCAACTATCATGGGCCAGTTCAACCACCCACACATTCTGCACCTGGAAGGCGTTGTCACAAAGCGTATGAGGGGTGGTGTCCTGGAGCGGGAGGTGGGAGGGGTGGATGAGGAGAGAATGAGACCACCAGAAGCGGAAAGGCAGGAAGTCTGTTCTGGGTGGAGATGGGGTGGAGGCTGCCGTGGTGATGTGTGCTTTGTGTCTCAGGAAAGCCCATCATGATCATCACTGAGTTTATGGAGAACGGAGCCCTGGATGCCTTCCTGAGGGTGAGGAGGGTGGAGGACTAGCGGGGATGAGGGATGCACCACGGAGCCCTGGGCACTGGCTCGGGTCTGGGAAGAGGAGACCTGCCCCACCCACTAAGTCACCCACTTCCTGCTACAGGAGCAGGAGGACCAGCTGGTCCCTGGGCAGCTGGTGGCCATGCTGCAGGGCATAGCATCTGGCATGAACTACCTCAGTGACCACAATTACGTCCACCGGGACCTGGCCGCCAGGAACATCTTGGTGAGTCAGAACCTGTGCTGCAAGGTGTCTGACTTTGGCCTGACCCGCCTCCTGGACAACTTTGATGGCACCTATGAAACCCAGGTGAGAGCCTTGTACTCACCCCATGCACTTGCACACACACAATTACATGCCGTATGGACAGTCACATGGGTAACGAGTATGGGCCGCATGCTCGTGTGGACGCGGTAACTTCCCATCCCCTTCCCTGCCCTGAAACTCACGTGCCCTGTTAGGGAGGAAAGATCCCCATCCGCTGGACAGCCCCCGAAGCCATCGCCCACCGGATCTTCACCACGGCCAGCGACGTGTGGAGCTTTGGGATTGTGATGTGGGAGGTGCTCAGCTTTGGGGACAAGCCCTACGGGGAGATGAGCAATCAGGAGGTGAGCTCGGGTGCTCCTCACACCTCTCGTCCCCTTCCCAAATCCTCCTTGGCCCATTCCTGCAAACACCCTTCTCTCTTCTTCCTGACCCACAGTTTGTCTGTGTTCCTATCTGCCCTGGTCACCTTCATCTCCAGCCCTGTCCTTTACCGCCCACACCCTGATCAGGCTCCATTGCAGTGATCTGGTGGGAACAGAGGTTCCTCATGGGCTGCCAGGTTAGCTTCCTACCCTTGGGCATCCCTCCTCTCTTCCTCACTGCAGGTCATGAAGAGCATCGAGGATGGATACCGGCTGCCCCCTCCCGTGGACTGCCCTGCCTCCCTCTATGAACTCATGAAGAACTGCTGGGCCTATGACCGAGCCCGTCGGCCCCCCTTCCACCGCCTGAAGGCACAGCTGGAGCACTTACAGGCCAACCCCCACTCCCTGCGAACCATTGCCAACTTTGATCCCAGGTAACCACCCTTGGGAGGGCAGATCTGGGAGAATGGAAATGGGCGCTCAGCCACATCCACGGAGCTCTGGGCCCATGGAGCTCCTGACAGTTTGGCAGATGAGGAGGGATTCCAGTCTGCACCCTCAGGAAGTAGGAGGTGCTGTGTCTCACCCTTGAGAGCTCCAGTTTGATGGAAGATAGGAAGTAAACACACTGAGATGGAAAGTACATATAAGCAGCTTACAACCTGATACCTGCTCCAGGGAGCTTGGTCGCTTAGACTGGGGTAGGGAAGACAGAGAAACCTGCAAGAGCAGGACAGTGGGATGGCTGCACGTGGTGACTGGGAGGGGCAACCCGCAGGGTCTGGAAGGCTCCCAGATCATATGGCCAGCAAGGGCTGGGGAGCGGAGAGTGGGCCAGTTGCAAATAGTGCAGGGTGCGGAGAAGTTCGGGCTTTATCCTGAGTGTAGAGAACTACCAACCAATTTTTTAAAACTGCATGGGAGGGACATGGTCAGAATTCCATTTTACTGAAACTGTTGCTCAGAATATGGAGAATCAACTGGTTGCAGGAGGTAAGGTGGGGGAGACGGGCATGGACGGACTTCAAATGCTTTATCGGGTAAACCCGCCCTCGTGTGCTGGCCTCCGTATCAAACCACCATATATAACCTTGTTTCTGGGAGAAAATGTGCTCCAAGTTCCAACTTTTGAAACTATCTCTTGGAGCACAACTCCCTCGTACACTGGAGACCGCATGTGCTAATCTTTCTGGAATGTTGGATATTTTTCCCCCAGCAGATTTACTTTGCTAATGGTTTTTGGCTCTGGCTGGCTTTAGTACAGGAACACTCATTGTACTGCGGGTGTCAGAGTGCAAGAATAACAGCTGAGGTTGGAGGTGGAAGGCAGGGGGCTGCTCCCAGAACTCGGGGGGCCACCCTGAAAAACGGCAGGACCACACCCGGCTTCCAGGGCCTCTGCTCTCCCCCTCCTGCTTTCTCTCAGCTGGGATATAGTTTGTGTCTTAACCAGCCCCCTCATGCAGAGCTGGCCACTGCAGTGGAGACGGGCTGATGGTACCTTCTGTTCAGACTTCCGGGGCCGCCGCTTGCTCCGGCTCTGTCGGCGCAGTAGGACCGTCAGCCTGCCTGTCGCTGTTGCCAGGAAACAGGCCAGGAAATGGGTTCACAGACAATGGCCGGGCTAATCCACAAAGTCTAGATAATCTCTGTGCTCAGACACCCAACTTGAATGCCGGCTGCACATGCACAGAGGCTGAGCTCATTTCGGGAGAGCCCTGCACCCCCCATGCGACTGAGGTAGCCTGTGTCCCACAGGGTGACCCTTCGCCTGCCCAGCCTGAGTGGCTCAGATGGGATCCCCTACCGAAGCGTGGCTGAGTGGCTGGAGTCCATACGAATGAAACGCTACATCCTGCACTTCCGCTCTGCCGGGCTGGACACCATGGAGTGTGTGCTGGACCTGACGGCCGAGTGAGGACCCTGGGGGCCTGGGCAGGGGAGGGCAGCTGGAGTTTGAGCCAGCAGACTCAGGATCCCCTCTCCTTGCCCACAGGGACCTGGCGCAGATGGGGATCACACTGCCGGGACACCAGAAACGCATTCTTTGCAGTATTCAGGGATTCAAGGACTGAGCCCTGCCCACACCCACCCTGTTCTCAGGGAGCAAAAATGGGGCCGTGGTCAGGCCTCAGGCCCCTTCCCTGGACCTGCCAGACATTGGCCTTTGGTGCTGCTCCTGCCCACCCTTCCCTGAGGAACTGCCGCTGGAGCCCGGAAGTCTCTTTGTTTTAAAAAGGGAGGTGGGGTAGAAGTAACTGTGGGAGTTGGGGGAGGGTTTAATATATATATATATATACATATACATATACATATACATATATATTTTTGTAAATAAACAGGAACTGAGTTTTCATCTTTACCAGGGGTTTTTTATCCTTTATCTCAACCATCTCACCCTCAAGGGCTGTAGGCACAAAAGAGTCGACTACTAAGAATTCTGGAAAACAGTTCTTTTATTTGTAGCTGTAGCCACAACCTGGCGGCACAGGGGCAGGTGGGAATGTCCAGGCTGGTGACCCAGCCCAAGCTCCCAGAGAGTCAGGGTGTCCCCTGGCCCTCAGCAAGCAAAGTACGAGGCTGCTCGGGGCATCGGTGCGGCAGTGAAAGCAGCAGTGCTCAGCCTGGTGCCCCCTCAGCTGGGGTACCTGGACGACGGTGGGTGGTCCCTGCAGGATAGGGGAGGACTGGACTCCAGGGCTGGGACTCTGCAGCCCTAGGCCACACTGGGGCCCTGGATCAGCACACTAAGGATACTGGGGTGGGGTCTGGTATGGAGGGAAGGGCTGGACATCAAAAAATAACTGCAGGGAGGTGGGGTGGGTAGAGGGGTGGGGTGGTCTCATGGTGGGTGGTCCACTGCTAGGGACTGGACTTGCAGTTGAAAAGGGGGCCGGTCCTCACTCAGGTCTGAGCTCTGGCCGTGTGGCATTTCCGGCAGAGCACGTGGCCATCCAATGGGAAGCAACCATTGTCATCTGCCTCAATGGACAGCGGCTTCCCACAGTCCTGGGAGAAGGAAAAAGAGCGCACTGGCAGGGAGGCCCCCTGTGCACCCCACCTCCCACCTTAAAATTGGTAAGGCTGGATGCTCACAGCTCAGCCAGTGTCCTCATCATCTGTCCCCCCGATCACAGCCACCTCCACTCCTAGCACCCACTTCCAGTTTTGTCCCTCAGGACCCTCCCATGGGTGGGCAGTGGGTAGAGTTACTTCCAAGGTGCACCCCAATACAGGATATGCGGCCTCCCCCACCTGTCTCACCTCTATTCTCACTCTGCCCTGAGACCCTCAACCCTGCCATAACTGAACACAACTCCCTTTCCTCCCATTGGTTGCTGCCATTTCTTGGTTTATCCGAAATTCAGTGACCCCACCGAAACCCCACACCCCACTTTCTACAGTGACGGAGGCTCTGGGCTGAGCGGGTGTGGGTGCCACCACTGTCCACCCTCAAAATGCATCCCCGCCTTCCTCCAGCCTGGCTCTGTCCACACCTAGTGGGCGAGCTGTGTCCCACCACCTCCCAGCCCTGAGGGGCCGGGGGCACGGCCAACCTCACACTTGTAGCACTTCATGTGGAAGTTCTTGTCCAGGGCAACCACCCGCACAGTCTCCTCTCGGCCAGGCTCAGGCATGATGGGCTCGGCGCAGACAGAGCACCTCGGGGCATACTGCCTAGGGGCAGAGAGCATGCTGGGAGTCAGAATGGGGGCGAGAGGCACCGGGTGCTGCCCCCGAGAGTGCAGGGAAATGAGATGGCAGAGCGCTTGGGCCATCTTGTCCCACCCCTTTAGGTGCAGGAAGCTCAACAGAAAGGCCTAAGACTGGCTGCCAAGGCTGACCTTGTCAAGGGGAGTCTCCCAACCATCCCCGCATCCTCCCAAAGCACCATCCGCCCCAGGAACCTCTGCCACCAAGTTCTAACCTGCCACGGTCACACTGCAGCCCCTGCACAGAGCGCTCCCAGAGGCGCCCCTCCCCGGCTCCCATTCCTGGACCCTGACCCTCGCCTACCCCTGCCCAGCTGCTAAGGCGTCTGGAGGGATGCGACATGAAAACACACCTCACACACACTCATGTGAGAGTCAGAGTCTGCAGCTTCCCTGCTGCCACCCTTTAGCTACATTACGGGATTTTTGCCGCTGGCCTGAGAAAGTAGCCACCTTATAAGCACTGTTTCTAAGGGGAAACCAGAGTTCCAAACAGCTGATCGCCAAAGGAGCTTTCAGAATCCAGCCCGTGTGTGAAATGAAGTCACTCCAGAACACACTGCTGAATGCAAGACCACACCCAAAAGAAACCTCGGAGAGCCAAGGGCCAGGGGAGGGGGACGAGCCAGCAGCAAGACTGCTACCCAGGCCGAAGGCTGCTGGACAGCTAAGTCCAGAGGGACTGGTCTCTGCTGTCTATAGACAGGATGTGGGGACCAAGTCCAGGGATTTGCAGCTGCCTTGGGACCGGGGGCGGGGGGACAGCCTGGCTCCCAGACAAACCATAGTCGGCACCCAGAGAAGAGCCCAGAAGGTGGGTGGGCAGGGTCCTCACTTGTGGTAGTCGGGGACGCAGTGGGGCCGGTTGGCCTGGTCCACGATGAAGGAGGTGCCCTCCAGGGGGCAGGCGCAGACCACACAGGTGAAGCACTGTGGGTGGTAGGCTTTGCCTGTGGCCCTTAGCATGCGGTCAGTGATGGGCTGCCCGCAGGTGTTGCATTTCTCCAGGGTGTCCTGAGGATGGAGCAGCAGGAGTTTGGCAAGGAACTGGCACCTGAGGGCCAGCTGCCAGGGCACATCTGTCTGCCCCACGCCGCCCCCACCCCGTGGCTGAGCGCCAAGTGCCCCCAGCCCCAATCCCGACTCACAGTATAGCAGCCCTCACAGTATGGCGCCCCCTCCAGGCTGTAGAACTGCTGTCCTTGCAGCTGCTGCTCACACTGGTGGCAGGTAAAGCAGGTGATGTGGAACAGCTGCCCCAGAGCGCGAACTGCTGGCTGTGCCCGTGCCAGGGGCTGGTGACACCGGCCACAGAACTCTGAGAAGGCCGGAGAAGACAGAAATGAATAGGAGGAAGGGGGTAAAGCTTGCAAGGGATCAGCGGGCTAGGACAGGGAGTGGAGCCACAGGCACCAGGCTGCACATTAACAGAGATGTCCCAATAGGTGGGCAGTGGGCTCACCATTGACAGCCACATTCTGCCTCTGAGGATGTTCCATGTCCTGCATCAGCTGCTGGGTCAGCTGCTCCAGCTCCTCCACCTCCTTCAGAGTCAGAGGTCCTGGGGCCCCAGAGGAGCGCACCTGAAACCCCAACACTTGCTTCATGCTCTCTCCAGGATCACCCCCTCCGAGAACCCTCCCCAGCTGGCTTATTGACTTTCTTCCAAAAAGGACTAACCCCCCTCCCGTTTCCCAGACACTCAGGCTGGACTCAAAAAGCGCCTCATTCTCCCTCCCAGATCCCTAGCACGACACAGATAAGGGTAGGGGGGAATGACCTTTCCTCCCGCTTTGCCCAGCCCCGCCCCGGGCAGTCACAGACAGGCCAGACTGACTAAGCGGACGGAGGCCACGCACACAGCAGCTCAGGTCACTGAAGCACTGAACACACTAGGCCACGCATCAACTCCACAGCGCATGCTGGGACACGGCCCCACGGAGAGGCTGGCACGCGATGGCGTGTGCACCCACACGCACACACACCTACCCGTCCCGCCGGCTGCCGAGCAGCCCCTGACAGCGTGAGGATACAACACAGGTGGGAGTCAGGTTACATAAACCCCAGCGCCGTCTGCAGGAGGCCAGCCTGCAGCTTCCACGCAGCGGTCCTGGGGCCCCTCCTTAGATGGGGTCCTGGACGACCTGACCCCATTCCCTCTCCAGAAGGCTCCAGAGAAGGGCCACTCTCTAGGTCAGTCGACCCCTCCTGTTTAGGGGATCCTGAGGCTGGGGGTGGGGGTAAGGTTAGGGGGACAGTGCCAGTAACCCAGAGAAATCCTGGGAGGAGGTCCCACAGGGACTATCTGACCTGCAACAGCATTTCCATGAGACAGTCCAACAGGAATGCAGAGTTGGTCATCCTGGACTGTGGCTCCCATCACTGAACGCCCTACTTGCCAATGCCTCCACTCTCTTAACATCTGGAACCTCAAGACCTCCCAGCTACCTCCTCCCAAGGTCACCTTCTCCTCAGCCCTGGCTCCACCCACCCCCCAGTAACCCTGTCTGCATCCAAAGCTGCATCCGCCTAGGGAAGCACAGATCCACAGATGCTCCAGCTCAGCCATTTTCCCCCCAGACCCCTGCTGCCCTTCACTGACTGACTGTGTGAGTCCCCTGTTCAGCCCCCTCTTCTATATAAGCTTCACCTTTTCCTCTCTCAGGCATCTTGGGGATAGAGGAAGAGGATACAGCCAGCCCTTGCTCTCCGGTACTACTTAAATGTCTCTTCCATTCTTTGGAAGTATGAACTATTTGGACTTCAGCTCCCCGTGGGTATCCAGGCTCCTTCAGGACACACTCAATCCAGCCACTGTTTTCCCTCTCAGCCTGCCAGCACCGATGTCCCCACTTCAAAATGCACGGCACTCAGACCTCTTCAACTCCAACTATCCAAACATCCCTCCATCTCAGGCACCTTCCAAGGAACACCTTGGACCTGAGGTTTTCTGGCCTCTACCTCCAAGACCCTGGGCTTCACCTCCCAACCATCACCTCCGCTGCCTTTCCCCATTCACACCTACTGAATGAACTTGCTCAGAAAGGCTTTAGTTCCTGACTCCCAACCCTCTCCGTATGCCTTCTGCACTTGCCTCCCCCTCAAGCCAGGCCCCTTGACCATCGATTTCTACAAGGCTCTCATGGCCACGCTTGCCACCTTCAGCCACCATCGTTTATCTGGTCCAATCTCAACCCTGGGTCAAGCCGCCACCCGCTTCCTGTTTCTGCCTCCAAGCTGCAGAAAGTAGGTGGGGAGATCACTGAACACTGCAGAGAGAGTTCACAAAACACTGCAGCGCCCTCCATACCCTCCCGCCTCAGCTCGGCTGTCTGGTATCTGGCTCCCGTGGGTTCCCAGTCGCCTTCCCCACAGCAGCTGTTCCAAACCTTTCCATCTCCTCAAGCCCCCAAATGCTTCGCCCCTCGCTCTCACAGATGACCTCACCTCCTCCGTGACCGAGGCGCTGGAAGCCAGCCAGCTCCAGCTCCCTCATGGCTCCTCTTCTCCACGGAGCCTGCGGCCACACCACCCTGCTCTCCGGGAAGTGCCTTCGGGGGCGAGGGCGGCCGCCAGCCCTCCTCCAGGACTGGAGCACCCTAACCCTCTTCCTTGGCTTCTCTCTCTCCTCCCTTCCTCCCTCTCTCTCTCTTTCTTTCTCTCTCTCTCTCTCTCTCACACACACACACAGAGTTCTTCCCTCGGTCCTTCCTCTCCCTGCCAAGCTGAGAACAGGCAACTCTTGGCAACTCCATTTTCTCACCACCTACTCACGGCTCAACTCACCACTCTGTCCCCACCACAGGACACAGCCATTTACAACTTCCAAATCGTCTGGTCCCTGGCGTTCTTTAGTTCTCAGACACCCACTGAAGAGCTCCATGGCCATCACTCTCTTCTCTGGGATCCCACCCTGATCTGTGACTCTCCTCCTTCCTCCATTCTTGCTCCTCCCCCCTGCTCCACAGGAGCATCACCCAAGGGTCTTCCCAGGCCCTCGGCTCCCTGCCTGGGCTTCAGTATCACCGCACACCATCACCACACAAACGCACACCCCGAGCCCAGGCTCTCTCCTGCCGCCCGTCCCCCACTTCTAACTGAACAACAGTTCCAGCTGAAAGAAGGTCCTCCTGGAACCTGTTGCTCAACATGCTGACAGCTGGACCCTCCTCTTCCCGTCCACACCATTTCCCCTTTTGGACTTCTCTATTTTGTCAGCAATACTGTCATTCCAATACACCCAGGCATTTTTTTGTTAGTTTGTTTTTTACTCCCCCTCCTCTTCCAAGCACTTTATCGGAGTCTGGAGGCTCTTCCTTTGTAAGAACTCCCATATCTGGGCCGTATTTTTTCATTGCCACTAATGTTCCGCTAATATGAGGAAACCTCCACACGTGACTGACCTCCTACGTCTGCTGGAAAAACTTTCCCGAAAGCTTCCAAAAGCGCGGCTGTCACTGGCCTCCAGACCCAGCCACACACCTACTCAAACTCCTTTATCGCCTCTCCAGGGCCCGCAAGCTTCCCAAGTGGTCTGTTTCATTTCCTCCTCCCCTGAGTCCCCACCTACCTCTCTAAGTATCGCTCTATAATTTCCCCACAGGTACCTTCCACTTGCTGTTCTCCAGAGACCCCTGGGTACATTTGTGCCCTTGAGTTTTGTTCATGCTATTCCCACTCGAGTGCCCTTCCCGCTCCTCTCTGGATTCTTAAGTCGCACCATCCTTCGAGGTACGCCAGCACCATTGATGCCTTTTCCTAACTTGCCAGCCCCTACATTGGCTCCCAGTTCAGAGTTCCTGTGACACAGGATTCTGCAAAACTCAGTGGCACTTGGCAACTCTTCCTACCCAGGGCCTGCACAGAAACCCAGCTGCCAGTTAACTCTATGGCTGGTTGGACTAGATGACTGGCAGGGTCCCTTAAACACAGATCTGTCTCCAGAACTGGAGGACAGGAACGGTCAGGCAGGAATGATAACTTTTCTACTTTGAGCATTCATGTGCTATATACAGATCCCAGCACTTTTGACGCATCAGCTCACTTAATCTTCACAACCATTGTAAGGGTAGTTAGTGAATTGAGGCTCAAGGTTCACCTAACTTGCCTGGGGTCTTGTAAGCCAGGAATTCTACTCCAGGTCCACTGATTCCCTCAGGCTTAACCTCTTTGAGATCTCTTCCCACCCAAGCACAGAGCACAGTGCCTGGCACTGGGCAGATGCTGGCTGGCTCAGCCAGTATTTACAATGACTCTTATCACCAGATGGGCCCTCGGGTGGAGAAGGCAATCAGAGGAGCAGAGATTAACTCAAGAATCCAAGAAGGGGGAAGATCTGAAGTTGGACGGTTGATGATCTCATCCCTTCCCTTTAACATTCTGGGGCAGGGCGCAAGGGAGAGTCCACCAAATCCTCCTCCTAATTCAGAGCCTGTGCAGCTCCCCCAGCTCCCAGCCAGGCCCCTCCCAACCCCAGACCCTGCCTGGCTCTCTTCCAAAAGAGCCTTCTCTTACCGTGGTCACACCAGTCCAACCCCAGAGACTGAAAACTCCTCTCCCACCGCCCCTCCCCCACTCTCTGAGACCACCTTCCCCCTCATCCTCTGGTTCCTGACTTAGCCCTGCCCCCAGCCCCCTGGTCTCAACTTGGTCCTCCCACCCTCCCACCCTCCCTCACCTGGTTTTGGTTTTGAGCCGGTGGGGGCACTGGGTGCTGCTTCTCCTGCACCTGGGGCTTCTCCCTCTGCTGAGCATAGGTGAAGCTGGGGGGCTGAGGGGAGCTTGCACCAGTGGAAGAGGGAGCTTCAGGGGGCCCCAACTTCTGATTCGGCTGTGACCTGGGCCCACCTGGGGCTCCAGGGCTAAACTTGGAAGCCACAGGAGTAAATTTGGGAGTCACTGGAGAAAACTTAGGGGCTGGAGCTGGGGCTGGGGGACCTCGAGGCTGGGTGTTAGCCAAAGGCACAGGCTGGGGATGGGCCTGGGGCTGGGGCTGGGGCTGCGGCTGCGGCTGGACATGGAGCTGGACCTGAGGCTTGGCCTGGGCCTGGGGCTGGGCCTGTGGCTGGGCCTGGGACTGCACATGGAAATGTGTCTGGCTCTGAGGCTGAGCCTGGGACAGAGGCTGGGAGCTAGAAGGGGACTTCCAGGGAGGCAAGGGTGCTGTGCCCCCAGCTGCAGGCTTAGTACTGGATTTAGAAATGAATGGAGTGGCGACCGGTGGGGGTACATATCCAGATGACACCTGCAAGGGGAGGCAGAGGGGAGAGAAGTGTGTCAGAGGAGGGTGCTGCCCTCCATAATTCTAACCCTACGCCCTTCCTCCCTGCCCTGCCTTTCCTACTCTCCTGTCCCTTACCCGGGCCTTGAAGGGATCATTCTTGGTCATGTCATCCAGCAGCGAGGACAGAGAGTCGATCTCCAGATCAATACTGCTCACCTTCTCTCTGGGCTAGAGGGTCAGGGGTCAGAGCACCCATCCCAGTTTTGCCGCCTCACCCCCATCAGGGCAGAGATGCAGGGAGGTCAGAGGAAAGGACCCGCCTCTCCTTCCCTTGGGGTGTCCAGCGTAGCTGCCCCTCCCAGGCCTCCATACCTGTGGTGGGAGCTGTATGGGGGTCTCAGGCCCTCCCTCATCCACTACTGGAGGCGGCGGGGAAGGGAAGATCTCCTCCTCCAAAGGCGCAGGGGGAAACGGTTCCTCGATCGGGGGAGGGGGAGGTGGGAAGGCACCTCCCAGAGCGCCCTCCGCGTCGTCTCCCTCCCCAAGCACGGGAGGGGGCGGTAAGGGAAAGTCTGGGGTTGGAAGGAGAGAGGGCAGTCAGCAAGGACCCCTCTACCCTTCCCCAGGTTCCCCCCCTTCTACAGTTCTAATTCCCCTAAACGAAGAACTCTCTCGGGGGTCTGTATGGGAAGTAAAAGGGGGCGCAGGGCGTCCTGGGAGCACTGGGTCAGGAAAGGCCGGGTCTCAGCCAAGGAGTGGTACATCTCTCATTACACTTCGGAAAACGGACCCAGAGGGGAAGATTCGTGCCCCACATTCCCGCCTCCCACCCCCAGGCGGGGGCCTTGGAACAGTCCCAGGAGCCCTGGCTCCCAGCCATGAGCTCCACGATGAGGTAAGAACATCTGCTCGGGACTGGGTGGCTGCGCCCAGCCCCCTCCGCTGCAACCTTTCCAGACATCCCCAAATTTCCGAAACCACTGCCCCCAGCCCGGCGCCCGCCGAGGTCCAGCCCCCAAGC